TAAGAGGCTTTTTAAAAAAATAATTTTGAAAAATTTATCTTAAAATTTGCAAGCACGACGACAAAATGACGTTACTTTGCATTTTGTGGCGATTTTCTAAGAAAAGTGAGAGAGACATAATCCAAGCAGAAAATCTTTGCTCGTTGCAATATTCCTAAGTTATTTTATCCGAATGAAGAATGATTTGTGACTAAAATAAGGGTCAGTTTTTTGTAAACCGTAAATAAATGGCGCAAATAAAATGGAAATAACAATTTATAAACGTATCCAGTATGAAACATGACTCGTTTATGTTCAAGTTAAATGATGAAACCTCCTACTGTCTTCGTATCTTTTACGCTTAACACATCTCATATATTATTTATTCTTGTTTTTTGAAACGCTTTGCAATTAAAGAAATAAACCGACAACTCACTTTAAGTCATTAGCGAAGACGACATTCACGTCTACTTCCTTTTAAATAACGTTAGAGGAGAGACAATAATGACTGCTCCCTGCCGGAAATTTACAATTAAATATACATTTTTAATTATTTTAATAATGATTTTTTTATATTAGTGTCTCTGCACTTTATCTGCCATTGTTTAGAATAATTTAGAGCATAATATAAGAACTTTTTTGAACTCGAAAGTATTGATAGCGTATACGACGATTCCGTGAACATCTCTGCTCAAAATACGATGTAATGAAGACAAAAAGTAAGTAGAAACTATTCATTGACATCAAAGATGTTCTAAATATGTCTGTAGTTTTACACATTCCACAAATATGCACAAAATCAAATATTAAGTAATGATTCGTGTATCATTTATATACATAAAAGCAACAATTTATAATAATTTCCTTAATATTTTAGTATATTTTACATTAACATTACGTCTACGTAAACATTCGAGATGGATTATCGGATCTAATTATTTTATAGTCTTAATTCTAAGCCCGTGAAACAGACGAGTTAATTAATATAATTATTATACAAAAAAGATAATCGTAATTGTAATCTCTTGAGAATTCCTATTTTCTTCGTCTTCGGCAATCTTAATTAATTCGTTTTGATTCTAGATGAAAAACTTCAATTATTTTTCAAAATTAAGAATATAAACCCCCAAAGTATTAGTGAGAATAACAAATTCTAATACATAAACTGAATTTTCCATTCGAAGAAAATCCAAGACCTAAACAGAGAAATTTCTTATTCGAACCGATTCTTGGACTTTCAATTTTATTGAAAATATTAAATATTGGGAGTGAAATTCTAGCATATCGAATGCCCTAAATAAATAAGAGTTCGGGTTTTTTCTTGGAATAAAAATATGATCCATTTAACGTGTTTATAATTTCTTAATTACTACTTACAGATGCGACTGTTTAATCTGGTTTCGTTACAACGTTCTTAATGCCTAAAGAATTCTCGATATTGCGCCATAAAAAAAATCATTTTAAGCATAATTTCGCATCTTTCACCCGACTACGGGAAGTAAAACATCTTGAAAATCGGAGTGTAATATTTGGAGGAAGGAGTATTACGATAGAAGTACATAAAATTCTTTTTAAGATCTTAGTATTTCTTATCGAATTTCGGTTCTAAAGTCTCTCGAATGAATACTTTCACCCCTCTGTGTGTATCGCTAATTCGATAAGTGCGGTTATCCGTGCGTGTGGTTAAAAACTCCGACTGCCTCTACGTAATAGGATTAACGTTAGCGAAAAGTCCATACCACACAATATATTTAACAATAAATTCGGAGATTTCTGATGATAAACAAAATATTAAATTACTTGTGCGAAACAAAAAACTAATCAATAGTAGAAATTACCTACTTTCTCCAATTTCTTAAGCTTTTTTTTTTACTGTAAACTTATAATTAAAACTATACTTCTGAAGGATCCATTACTCTCTCGTGTTTTTCTTATTGGGCTGCAATTTAAAACAAAAAAAAATTGTATACCTATAAATTCCTACTGTCGTCTGTCCGCCTGTCTGGCTGTCTGTCCTTCCTTAATCTCGAGAACAGAGTTAGATAGATGAAAGCCGAGACTAGATAGATGATCGGCACGGTTCTATTGCTAACGGGAAAGGTATGATATACTGGGGCAAGACAATACTAATTTCAGGTGGAGAACAATTGCAACCTGGCTTTTATGACTATGTTACAATAAATAATTGCTGATTGTTGATTTTAAATTCTCCTCTTCTGAGATTTTACAAGTATGAGAAATTACTTTTGTTATACTCATTCTGAAATTTCTATTATTTCATTACGAAAGATTGAATTCATTATCTTTAAACTAAATTATTCATGGAGTTAATGTATATGAAAGAAGGATCCTCGAAAGTGGAATCGTTGGTAATGCGATATTCTGATATTAACGGATTTCCATTCGATATTCAAAGGAATATTTTGGGAATATAGAAAGGAGGATCAACGATATATCCGGAGATTGGCAGGGGAAGAAATCCTGAGAGACACGATACAATCTGTACTTCCTTGCTTGTACCGTTTCGGTTATTGACGTCTCGAATCTCGGTAGGGAGGACGGAGTAGGTTTTACCTTCGTATTTTTAGATATAAAGTAAATAAACGTTGCGTCGATTCGTCAGCACAGAACGACTCTTTGATTATTTAAAAATCGATCTAACCGCATTACTTTTGTTTACAACCGTCGAGATTACTTTCAAATGCTTTTCGAATAGCACAAATATAGTCGCGAGTATTAATAACTTACGAAAGATCGTTAATTTATACGCAAATTAAGCAATTTGGATACGTAGAATTAATTTTCTAACAGTCCTTCCCCTCCACCACATAAACGTTACCTTAAAAAATATGAGACTTTAAGCTATAGACTGGTAATGCTACCTACCTCTTGTTTAGTTTTGCCATTTGTTTACTACATACACACCTTATATTTAAATGTAGAAAACGTTTATAATTTCACATTCGGTTACTATTCGACATTATTAATATCCAGGCAACAGCAAATACTATTAAATTTATATGCTGTACATTAATATTCATACTGGGTGAATGGTAATATAAACCGACAAAATTTAAGGCAATAAATCGAAATTAAAGACAATTTCTAAATTCTAACGGAAAGAATCTTTGACAAAGGGATTAGAAAAGCGTAAAACGAGATAGTGAAGAATATTCTCGTCGTTATTCTTTACCATAACTTTATATAATTTACCAGTAAAAGACGAGTATCTTAATTTTCATTAAAGTAAACATCGAAAGTTATGTCTTTCGTTTAATAATATCTATAATAATAATATTATTAGATACTAAAATAATAAAATAATTATTATTCTTCCCGCTTTCCTAGAAAATGATATGAAAATTTCTTATCAGAAGATCATTTTAATTAACTTTTTCATTATAAATAAAAAACAGATATTTAATATATGACTTATAAGTTACGCGTAACGTTACTATAGTATAAAAATCATTTATTGCATTTAATTTTTGTTATAATAACGTTTATTTATTTAAATTTTGATTTTTATTTTGCAGGTTTAAATGTTATTTCATTTTTTTTTTATCGTTATGGCAGTTAAAGAATGGAAACGTAACACGTTTTATCAATAAATCTATTTGGAGTTCGATAATAATAAACGTGGAAGAGCACGTGTCTTATACGTTTCCATCGTTATTATCCGTGATTTTTTCTGCAGTTTTTTAAATAAAGCATGAGCTTTTAAAATACTGTTAATGGGATTATTAATTAAAATTGAACATCGAGTCGACAGTACGAGGGAAGAGAGAATTTCAACTACGATTTACTTTCCACCACTTTATGATTAAGGTCTTAATCTTCTAGCGAAATTTAATTACCGGGATGAGTTATCGTCTGGAAAATGGCCTAAAAACTTTCTATAATAAAAAATATTTTAAAGTCGACGTTATCTGAAGATAAATTATGCGATTTATCTTTATTGGATAGATATTGTTTGGAGAAAACTGCGATTTAACATTGTTCTCCGCTTTACTTTTTGGAGTAGAAGATTGTTGACCCGCTATCTGCGGCCGCATTCTTTTCAATGTGTCTGGTCTTTCTTAAAAGAAGACTTTTCCTAACGATAACTTCCGCTCGAACAATTCTTAATCTCGAGACGAAGCGACGACGTATCCCAGTTTAAGAAAATCTTCATCTTTCAGTTATGGGCCGTAAATGAAAAATAGAAATTAATCAACTCCGTAACGGGTTCTTAACACATGAGCTAAGAGAAGGTTACTTTCGAAATGTTACGACGTCGTCCTTTTTGTTCTCTGTTGTCGACAATCCGAAAAATAAAAAATAAAAATAAAAACAATTGTAATGCATTATAATTAAAGGGATGAATAGGCGAAGTATTGCAGCAGTCGACACTGGAATGTGACGTAACTTCCTTTCTCGTAATCGAAGTGTATAAGAACACAACCTAATTTATTATGCGATATTTACTTACGTATTCTTTTGCTCTACGTGTGTTTGCGCGTTACGCGTATAGAACTAACGGTGGAAATGTTTGTAAATAAGTACGTTGAGAAATGTAACCGTAGTTACATTTCCCTCTTTGGAAAATGATTACTTTCTTAAGAACGAAGAGCGAATTTCGAATGTAAGAGCAAGGAGAAATACGAAGTTTCAAAGATAAACACCTGTTCGAGATTAGAGAAGATTGCAAGTGGCTAAACGGAGTATTACGTGGAAGAAGTCGCCTGCGCCACCCAGCAGCTTTCCTATATTCCCGGAGTCGTTCCGCTCAAAGAATTAAAAGAGAAGGCGATCGATATTCCCTTCGATTCCGGTTTCGGCGCGTAGTTTCGATGGCGACGCGCGCGGGGGAGACATCGGGGGCGTGGCCACGCGTCTCCTTAAAAATCGATGGAGCGAAATTCGGTCGGAGCGGCGCGGCGTTGGCAACGGTCGTTCCGAGATTGCGCCGGGCGGGGAGGCGCGGCGCAGGCTCGGAGCGGTCACGTGAGCGGGAAGGTTGCCAGGAAATATAGGGAAGGAGACGAATCGAGAGAGCGACAGAAGCTCCGCATTCGGCGAGTCAGCATCCAGACGTCAGCATCCGAAGAGGACCGAGATGACTTTGGACGGCGCGTCGGACGCGGCTGTTAGGAACCCACCCATCAGGAAACAACCCACCGGGAGCCAGGCGCCCATCTTTCCCCGGAGCCCGGGGTATCGGGAAGCTCTGTCGCCCCGGAGCAGCGTCAACTCCACGCCGGGCATCCTGTTGACCGTGGATGCCCCCGACCCCCTGGCCTCGTGCGAAGAAGTGGCCGTGCACGCCTCGGGCCTGCAGAGGACCCCCAGTCACGGTAGGATGCGAAGAAACGCCAGCAACGGAAGACTGGGAGCCAGTCACGGTTACTGCGGAGGCAACGTGGGTCGGTCGCAGTCCATGAGGACGGCCAAGAGGCCCCAGTCGCTCGACCCCACTCACCGCTTCAGGCAGAGAATCGCCAGTATACCCAACGACCTGATCATGCCCGGAGAAGGCGGGGGGGCCGAGAGAATAGCCTCCAATCATTCGCTTCCGCTTCCGGGGGACGAGTCCGAGATCCTGCGTCTGCGAAACTTCTGCGTCACGTCCAAAGGTGTCGTCAACCGGGGCGATTCCTTTCGCTCCAAGTCGCGTTCCAACCACAGCTTGGCCTCCAACGGCAGCAACGGTGCTTCCAGATCTCAGCAGTGCCCGGCGGTGGTCACCTCCGAGCCCCTCCCCAGAAAGGACCCTGCCGTGGGGGCTCGGCCAGAGATCGTACCCGCCGAAGAACCGGCAGAGGAGTGCGCTCAGGCTTCGGCCCCCGAACCCGTCAAGTACCGAGTTCTGGTGGTGGGGGGCCCCGACGTGGGAAAGTCTTCCCTGGTAGAGCAGTTCACCACTTCCGAGTACATCTGCGCCTACGACAGTTCTCTAGGTAAGTCTTCTTCCTCTCGGCGCTCTCGTCTTTTCTCGAGCCTCGGGCGAGAGGCACGTTCGATTCTTCGCGCCCTCTCTCCCGCCAAATGGGTGGCATCGGTTCTTCCGTACGTCCATTCCCACCTTCTAACAAACGCGTCGGAATGTGATTAATTCCAAATCTTAGGCACTAACTCGGTACTTTAATGCGTTTGTAAAAGGGTTGGGGTGGCCGTGCGAGAAAGTCGCATTCTAGAATCGGAGCAACTACGGTTCCGAATTTATCGAACGACGGTGAAAGTAGAACAGAGACGCTTCCAGTATCGATTATTACCTTCTCCTTCGTACCGCGCCGATACTATCGGACTCTAATTCCGTAATTATGGGTCGACGGATCGATCTTTGGCAATTGTTTTTTACTAGAGTATTTGTAGAAACGAAAATCCGGCTTAGTTTGTTAGCATCGTCCCTTTTCTTAACCTTCTCGCCACGCGTAGTTTACGTCGCCAATGGCGCATCTCTGCTTACGCCTTACGCAGCGTAACGTTCGGTTCACGAATTTCGTGCGTAACTGATTTTTTAAATCGAACTAAATCGACAGTCTGGCTTTTTCGTTACGCGTCGAAGAGTTGTGCGTCAGAGCGGAGTTTACGGCTGGAGATTCACCGAACGGACGGACGGACGGATGACGCGTAGAGTCGAGTTCTTGGTAAAGCCGGTTGGCAGCGATTCTGCGCATCGTCACTTTTTACTCCGGCGCGGTCTGTAAACCTCCGGTTTAACAACCCGCGACGTCCATGTTAGGTTTCGACTGGGTTAAACCCGTCTGACGTGGCGTAACGCGTCTCTAGTTAACGCGCCAACGACTAATTTCGTCGCCGGTCGAGGTGATTCGGGATTTCCTAATACGTCACTGGCTCTGTTTAAATTTACGGCCGGATGACTCATTTCTAAGAAAACGGAGAAAAAGAGAGAGGGGGGATAGGAGAAAGTTTGCACTTTCTAAAAATAAATTGCCTTATCTAAACAGATTTTACAAGAGGATAAATCATAATCGTTAATTGTGCTTTTAAAAATAAACCCTTTATTAATTATGATGGAACGAAGAACGTGACGGAGGCGCCAGACGAGTGACGAAATAAAGATCTCCCGGCGAAAAGTATCGTCGACCAATTAAAACGCGTGTTTTATCTCCCCTTTTGTTTTCATCGATACATTTTTATTATTGTAATTTAGAAAATTTTTCCTACAATTTTAACAATTAATCTCCATTTTCGTTGTTTCCACTGTAGAATCTTAATTTAATTATTTTCTTTCTTATAACACGTTATATTATTTGTCTAACTTGTACAGCTTCTCTCATCATTCTGGCTTTAACCTTGGGTTAGTCACCCGAGATAAAAATCGTCGTCTAATGATTCGTCTGCGAGTAAATAAACTTTTGGTAACGATTAAACGACAGAGGTAATTTTTAGAGATGGAAGACCGACCGCCAACAAAGGCAATTTCTCCCCGAACACCCTATAAATAAACTCGATAGGAAGCGTAAAAATAGTTAATTCCCGGGAGTAAATATAAATAGTTGTATTACTCGACCCGGAAGTAATCGACTTTGCCTCGTCCGCCGGAAATACGTCACCAATTTTAGTCCGAAATTCATCGATCCGATCGGAATTCGAAAGACAACCCGGTGGAAATAATGTATTTAGAGTACATCGAGCGGCTCTAAGCCAAAAAAAGAACGTAAAAATGGCGCCGTGTCCTTCCTTAGGAAACAAAGTAGGGCAGCGACGATTTCTCCGTAACAGAAGATTTGCATGGTACCACACTTGCGAATCGATGCTAAGAAGTGGCTTCGTCCACCCCTTATACTGCCCTACCGCTCATTGGATATAATATTTTGATAAACCTTACTACTCGTAATACATCATTCCCATCTGACACGTACAGATTAATTTGGATAAAGTCGATTTACAATAGGGGTGTGAATGGAAATTACAGAATTAAATCCAGGTTAACGTATTAAAATATGACGACACGTAATTCCGTTGATCGGTAATCGAATATAGTATTATTGCCGTGTTTGCCCGAGAAAATTAACAGTATTAACGATTGGAGAAATTTAAAACTTCTATACCGGTCTATAATATACTATAAAATGGGAGACACGTGTCAATTTTTTTTAAAAAAATGCTCTCGAAGACTGAATGGTTTCTCTTTGATCTCCTAACTCTTGGGTGGAGACGACGGAGCCATTACATCACGGTACATCGAGTCTCGCGGTTTACTCGAAGTTGGTTAATGTCAACTCTTTAAAACTGTATAAAGTAGGTCGTCGTCGCCCCCGTTCGTTACCACCGTTCGTAATTATCTGGAGGGGGTGTGGAATCTCTTTGTAGTAATGGATACCGAGTGCCGAGTCCGGCCACCGCCCTTTTTTCTCTAAGGTGAGTGTCCGAGTGACCTCGCGCGGCTTAGAAGTATGGCGACCAATTTTGGAAGACGGAGATAATGCGGTCGAATACTTTGTACATTTTTTAGGGAGAGATTTCTGCCAAAGGAGACAGCGGGTCAATGGGTCAATGGGTGAATAAGGAGCGTCCTCGCCTACTTAGCGACTGGAAACAAACAAAAGTGGTGCCAAGCGGCGCTACCTTTACTCCGTTGATTTATCGAAAGTGTCAGAATTTTGGCTGAAGCGACGACTCGTTCCGCTTCTGATCTACAAATGTGACAAAGTTCCGTTTTCGTTTCGAATTACGTCGAACGAGTGGGCGACATTCGTCTTTCTGTCAACGCTAATACACGTTCGAAGTATTGCCAGACGTCGTATTCTCGTTAGCGGACGGGAGAAGAGCGATCTCTCCATATAAATGCCGACACGGTGAAGAAGTTTTCCATTTTCGATTCTCGCAGGAATCCGGAAATCTCGAAAGGATGAAAAATTTCTATCGGACGAGATAAGGTTCGTTGACACTAAACTTGTGGATCTTCGACTCCAAACCCTTACGGCCGCTTTGTTTTGACCAAGATTTGTGTCCCAAAGGGTCTTTAAAGAAGATCTATTACAATTTTTCTCATGGTTTTTATGACATTAATGTAAACAACGAAGTCATTTAAAGCAATAAAGCGTGATATATAAAGAACGTAACGTACACTATGAGCAACAGCTTTAAGAAAAAAGATTGAAAAGTAATTTATACGAACGACCGGAATCCGAAGAAAAAAACGTAAATAAATTTAGTTTTCTCGAAATTGCCGCTGTAAATAATCGAAAATCAGAAACGACAATCGTTTGCCTTGAAATTTTTATATTTTCAGCCAATATTTTTCCGTAAAATTTCCAGCTTCTTTATTATTTTATGTCTTGCAGGATAGACCGGACGATAGAGTATCAAAATGGACAATAAATCATGAGATGAAGTTATAACCCGTCCGCGAGATATAGTCGAATTTTAACGCTCATCTGGGGATGAGCGAGAGAAAATTTGATAAATTGTTTGCATTTCTAGATGGATGCCAAATATAAACTTTGTCGATTCGAGTCTGCATTAAAATTGAATTTTTTGGTCTTGCTGGTGCCTTACAATGCATTTATACTTAAAGAACTCGGAAGACCACGACGGGAATTTATGCAACTGAATTAATAAGTTTGTGAGTTAAAAATACAAATAGATGAAATAATTTCGCCTAATGCTTTCATTTTTAATTTAAGATATTTCTATAATATTCCGACAAAACAAATACTGTATTCTTTTTTTAAACTACTAAACTATTCTGCTGTAGCAAAGAAAATATGAAAGTAGATCACGAATGTGTTGAATATTTTTATCATCCTTCAAAAGTACCGTTATAAATCTAGATTTGCAAAAGTGACCGAACGTTTTCTCGATATCTTTATTGCACTTAGCCTAGTTTGTGCCAGAACGTGGGCACTTCACACACAGTAGACTTCTTCTCCGTATTTTATTTACATAAAAGTAAATTTTAAAAAATGGGTTACATAAAATAAAGCGTGTTTTCACGCGAATGAAAATATATATAAATTTCAAGAGTGTATAAACAAAACTATATTTTTGGTATCTAGATTTTGAAGTTTAGTTTATGCAAATATCAGAAAAAAACAATGAAGATGACTGATCCACTTGTGGTGGATACGCTCCTACATCATTATTAAATATAGCAAACACACTAAAAGTTTTTCTGCGTTCGATTATTTACATTTATATTTGAAAAACTGCTTCAAATTTCCGACTCTTCCAATGAGACTCTCCATTCGCAAAGTTCAACTTGTATTTAATTACTCGAATTAGTTCAAATCTTGTAAATATAAAAAAGAGAACATTTAATTTCGACGAATTGTTGGATATCCTACAGAGAAAATTAACACTCGAAATCTAATAATTTTCCTTTCTTTCCTAACTTAATGAAAGCTAGATGTATCTTAACGTCATTAAATATAATTAGCATTAATTTCGTTCAGAATGCTTCCAGTCGAATTGTAAAAAGAAAAGGTCATTTTAATTATCTCGAAAATTTCGTCTTAATAATTATTTGTATCATTTTACTTCGACTCTTATCATTCTTCGTGTTCATGTCGCATCTTTATTCGGTTTCTTCGCTATAACTAAGACCATTATGCTTTTTGAAATAACTTATTCAATGGAAAAATAATAAGCAATTGCATTTTTAGACTAGTTTTAGATGTTATATTAATAATAAACCAAGATCAGTCTCTTAATTAAAAGAACAATAGGAAAATAATCGTCAATTGAATTATTAAAAATTGTATTTTATTGTTAGTCCTTTTCCCCACGCTGAAATATATAATTCATCATTCAATAATGGAACACTTGCGTGAGATTTTTTAATTTCCTTTCTTTTTTTAAAAGCTGTTTGTCTTTATTTTTGTCCTATTTTTTATCCAGTCGAAACTTTATACTTGGGGAAAAAACAGATAAGAGCATAAGATAAGTGGGGGAAAAATAATAAAAATTTTGAATCGTCATCTCGTTATTT